TATTAATGCTTTTTCGTGGGGGTAAACCTGTAAGATCAAAGATCTCCAGGGACCACCCACCACCTTGGCAAATCGTGCCAAGGATCCGAAGAAGACCTCCGGGGAGTAATCCCGGAGGCGGGCTTCTTTCACGAGGCAGATGATCGAGACCAGGGCCGCTGCATCATCAGAGGATGTCTTCCATAGCCTGAGCATGGAAGCCGTCAAGGTCATCTTCTTAACCGCCGTGGGTGCACATGAACCCGTATCGGACCTGGTTCAATCATCAGCTTTGTACCCAGGAATTCCCAGGAATTCCTATCCTCGTCCTTCCTTACCAACTTCAGGGTCGGAGGGTAGCATTTTTCAAAAAGACTTAGAACATCCAGACAGCGGTGCAGACTCCCAGAGTTGATTGAGTCGAAGATAGCCAGTACAGACACATCGTCAACCAGTCTTACACCCGTTATCAGCAGTCTATCCATCCCGAGAGAATTCAGGAAATCAGATTCAGCTCTCGAGCAAAGCAAATCGGCTAGAGCGGGTGATGAGTTCTTACCCATCAGTATACCAAAGATCTACTGGTATACTTGTCTCTCACAAACGGTGTAGGTGTGCCCCAACTCGTAACGTATCATCAGTGAGATCTTGTCAAGGGGGATGCACACGAATCCATCCTCCTTCCTCTGGTTCTTGGGCAATTTGCATGTTTTACCCCGGATACTTACCTTGGCGGCAACTATTTCCTTGGAGGCGAACAATTGAGTTATCCAATCAACCGCTGCTACAATATCAGCATGAGGGAGCCTGGCGAACATGTCCTTAATGTCGTAGCTCCTCCCCAGGACAGTGTCACCTCTTCTCTGCAACCGGTTGGTCGCACGAACAAGTGACGACTTCAGATCATCAGTTGATCTCAAGCTGAAGTGGCAAGATCTAGGCAGGGCCAGTAGCATATATCTGAGAACCCTTCCAAGCCTAGCGCTGGCTGTCCGAGAGGGTTCGGACCAGGACGGTGAGATGGGCCGCCATCACGAGAGATCTTTGTCCTTTGGGATAACGTATGCCCTCCCAAGTTTACCACACGTGCGCCAAGTGGCGACGGTCTGTAAACCATTGTCACGATAAGCTTCCTTAGATGCTTTCAAAACGGCGTCTTCACCTTCATTCCTTCGACAGAAAGCGGAGTTCCAACTGTAGGTCATCCGAAAGGCGTGGAAATACAGAACGGGGCAGATAACAAGGGTGGCCCTCGGATTCCTGTCTAACGGAACCAATATAAATTCCCGCAAGTGATACACGGTGCGCGCAGCCGGCAATGCAGTAGTCTTGAAACACGCATCAACATCGTCATTCTTAATCAGTACAGCCTTCGCCCGCCACGTCCTAGGTAACGATCGGATAACACACTCGAGCAGTTGATCTCTACTCATAGTCCTGCCGCAAGTGATGTTCCTGGAGTTATGCACAAAAGAGTGCACACCCGGGATCTCACTTAATCGGACGCGGACATGGCCCTGGAATCGTGGTAGGATCCATTGCGTGCAACTGCAGGCTTCCACGCTATGTTCCAGTTTTTTCCTGAAATTATGGATAATGCTTGCCACCGTCCTACCTCGCAATCTTACCATCCTCAGTCGCTCTATTACGAGTGAGCGGATGGGCTCATCCTGCACCACTAAAGAAATGATCTCACAAGTCAAGTTCCTAACCGCGCCCAAATCGATGTAGGCGGAGAACGGAACTTTAACAAGCAATCTCCTCCTCACGTCTATTCCAAATCTATCTCTGATCACACGGGACAATTTAATCCGCAGAGAGCTCCTAGTCGAGCCCCTTGAGAAAAGACCAGCGGTCCGATAAAGTGCTACCAACTTTCTACTGGAGCGACGGTAAAGGTCCCTAACGCGCCATGGCTGGGCTACGAGATCCCGTAGGTACCGCTTATTCCGTTGTATCCCTGTAGAGGTCTTCTTTACCACTACGATCCGAAAATCGCTCCCTTCCTCCAGTTCTGCTTTACACTTCCAGAGTTTCTTCCTGCTAGTTCCGATCAGCAAATCAGATTCACCATAAGTCTCTCGAACCTTCCTCCACGTGTCCACCCAAATGGTTCCTTTGTCGGAGCGCAAATGCACATCGCGTGCTGAGTCACCAAGCGATTGAAGCAGGCCGACCAAAGATGCGACTAGTATCGTTAAGTACGTGAAAACAATCACACCACCGGGTTTCTTTGGTTTTGACTTGTGTTGCGCTCTCCCCTTCCGGCGTCTAGATCTCCCCTCAGAAATCCGTCCAACCTTGTTGAGCGCAGGTGAGAACCTACGGATCAACATCGCTTCCACAACCAATCCATCAGTAACCCCCGTCACCAGCGGTAGAATCACATAATTCTGCCACCCGTAATGTCTAAGCCAAGAGTTAAGCTTTGGAGCGTTCCCCGACGCCCCCGTTTTTTAGCACCTCACGTGCTCTGCCCATCTGGTGACGATCCTTCGGACAGTACAGCCGATGTAAAACCTTCGGCAGAAGGGACTGACCAGGGCATATACTCCAGTCAGGTTAACATCTATCCGCTCCGGATCAATAAAACATAAGAGCTTCCGTATCCAAGGAATGAAGCCCCGAACAACCAGTAGTAATACTAACAGAGCAAGCTCGTTCTCGTCACTTCTTATAAGAAGTGGGACCGCACCACTTACCTCCCTCCATCTTCGTCTCGCCATCAGTTCGCGGAGGCGCCCTGCAGCGGTGCGAGACGAGATAGGTTCCATCAGCGTATCTGTTCCAGCCCGTCAGCATTCGGCTTGCTCGTCGGTGTTGCTCGTCCCTTCTCGAAGAATCCCTCGTACGCTAATCTAGTACGACAGCGGACGATCTCTTGAATAGATTGGTCGTTGATGGTGTAGTCCACGCCCTCCCTGTCGCATATCTGGCGGATCTCATTAGCTTTGAGTCTGGACAGGAGCTTCGTCTGCGTGAGGGCGTAGTCAATCAGTCCTTCACTGGAAGCTTCAGCAGCACAGGCTTTCTTCGGTGTCACGAAGCCTTCGTCATTTGTAGCTAGCGGGCTAGCGGGAGCCTTCCCTTTCTTAGGAGCAGGATTCTTCTTCGTCCGGCTAGTCGATGCACGCAAAGCACCGACTCTTCTCCCCTTCTTCTTATTTTCCAGTGCCTCCACAAGCTTCTCAACCTCTTCCTTAACCTCCTCGTTATCGTCGTCGGATTCAGCAATATAGCTTCTAAACTCTCGCAAGAACGCGGTGAACGTTTCTTAGGCCCGATCTCTGGTTGAGGATTAGGAGCTATCATCAAAGAATCTCTCCTCTGCGTCAAGATGCGTACGATTGTTGCTTCCAGTCGTGCTTCCCGTGCCTCCTCTTCACGTAACTTCTCGCTCTCTCTCCTCTCGATCTCTTCCTTCTTCTTAGCTTCAGCCTCCTCCCGTTGTTTCCTCTCATCCTCCTCCTTCTCACGCTGTGCGATCCTATGTAACAACTCTCTCATCTCGCTATTCTCCTCTTCTGGTTTTTGCTTATT